TTTGTGCAGGATGATGAGAAATGTCTTCCAAGAACTTCCTATAGAAGAAGAAAAGTGAGTTGGGTAATCTTTATCTTCCCTATTCAAACCAGGTCTAGGAGGAGAAAAAATGATGAGTGGACTGGATTGAAATTTATGGGAGTGGTAGTTTCATTTATATCAGTCACAGATGGTTCTGAACTCTTCTGATGTTAATCAGGAAATAAATGCTTTGCCTAAGTAGTTGTTGTTATTTTAACACTTATACTGTGTAATTGGCCAGCAAGCTTTTGCTGCTGAATTTATAAATATTCTTTGCAAGTGTTTTCATTTATCTGTATGACACTGAATTAAAAACATTACTTCCTACTTAGAAAATCAGAGTAACGGATATTCTGCTGTTTTAAGAATAATTCTGAAGTAATTCACTTTTTCAAGAGTAATTCTCAACTGCAATTTTGCTGTTTAACAGTAGTTCTCAGTGCTGCTTTAAGAGTAACTACTCTTAATGCAAAATGTAATGAAACTTTGAACACCCAGTGGCCACTAATTTCATTCATGTTTTTGAAAATAATTTTGTTTTGTGCAGGATGATGAGAAATGTCTTACTACATTTAAGAGTAACTACTCTTAAACCTCCTAAGAAATCAGGAGGTGTGTTCCTTGGTTATTTTATATGAACAAGAAACATGAGAAGGGGGAAGAAGTTACCATTTGATGGAGCTGTTCATACAGACTAGAGAAAACAATCTGCTAGTAATATATCATGACTTTTGGTTATAAAACCTTATGTTTTAAAGCTTTTTTTTGGGCACAGAAATCATTGTGATTACATTTTTAGAATTGGTCTTTTCAGACTGTTAGTAATGCCTTTTTTTTTTTTTTTTAAGGGGAGAGCTGTAAAAAGAGGAAAAAGTGTGAAAACTGGCTATGATGAAAACAGCTGGAAAAAGCAGTGTATGGAACTAGTGAACTTAATTTTCCAGTGTGAAGATTCTGAACCTTTTAGACAGCCAGTTGATTTGGATCAGTATCCTGTAAGTTTTTCTTACTGATATTGAAAGATAATTGTATTGTTTGTTTTTCTCTTAACTTTTGGTTTCATAATAAGATCTTCACATTACTCTTAGATTGTTGTTATGGTTTTAGTCCAGAGCCATTCAAAGGAATTCAGAGTTCATACTTCTAAGCACACGGCAATATACTCTATTAAGATACAGTCCATCAAATTATTAACAATTTGTAAACAAAACAAACTGTAGGAACTGCAAATGCTGCATTACCCTAAATAAACATGTAATGTCTCTTGGTGTACCTTTATCTGTTAAGTAGATATTTAAACATTCAAAGTTTCTCTTGAACTGATCCCAGTCAAAACTGAACTTACCTGAATTCCCATGGCTTGGTTTTTATAGAGTGTCATTGCTGGCATTATCTTTTCCACTTGCTCACCGAATATTTTGAGGAATCTGCGTCCTCTTTGAAGTTTCACATAAAATGTAAATTTTGATTGAAACGTACCTCTGAAATACAGGTTTCATCCTGTTTTATTTTTTCCTGAATTTCTTGTAAAATGTGTTTCAGAACATCTTACTGCCTTGGTTATCAGTTCCATTTCGTATCAATCAAATACCTTCTTTGCCCTCCTGTTATTTAGAACCTTACCCTAATGTCAGGAGTCATTTCTCCAAAATGTATCCTTCTTTGTTTCAGTACTGGGTTCACACTTTTTTTCTTTCCCACTGTCTTTTATATGAAAGTTGATTTAGATAAATCTGCGTTTTTGTCATTACAACTTGCTGCTTCAGGCTGCTAGAAAAAAAAATCTGTTGAGTCTAAGCGATAAACTGGATTTTTTCTTTCTCGTAAAACCTTGCAGTATTCTTGCTATCTGTCTCTCTTGTTGTAATGACCCAGTAAGCACTCACAGGAAGAAAGCTTTTTAGTAACCATGCAGTTGTTTTTTTCTGAGCTTCCTATCTAGAGTTCGGGTTTCTTTGGGTTTGAAGAACTTTTTGGGCTTCTCTAAAACTCCTCATTTACAGGGGAGAGAACAAATAGAGATTTTGGCAGGGAGGGAGGGGGTGTTTGTGCGTTAATCCAGTTTATTTTTCATAGTAGAAATGCATTGGTGAAAGGATTGCGTAAAGACTTGTCACAGCCGATTTCTCATTTTGGTAACGAAATAGTTTGCTTGCGTGTTATTGTTACTGGGTAGCTCTTATAGAAGTAACTCGTAAGAAGTAATCGAAACTGTACTCGTAAGTAGTAACTGAAACTGGAAAACTGTATTCTTGGGCATGTGGCATTTCAGACTTTTTTTGAAGAAAACGCACTGATGGAGGAAAAAAAACTTGAAAATGAGCAAGAGGGTAATACAGTGGAGAGTTCAGGTAGTCTCTGTGAAAGCTAAGCTGTCTACTCTGCTGGGTGTTGCTGTCTTCAGGTGGTATTAAACACGATCGTCTTACCTCACCTTGAAATGACAAAAATAATAAAATTCTCAACTGCTGTTTTATTTTCTTTATGCCTTGTTGAATTGCTTATTTTCTCTTTTCCCTCTGTTTTCATATCTTTAGGACTACAGACATATTATAGACACTCCAATGGACTTTGGTACAGTGAAAGAAACACTGGAAGCAGGAAACTATGACACTCCAATGGAACTGTGCAAAGATATAAGGCTAATATTCAGTAATGCAAAATCTTACACTCCAAATAAAAAATCGAAGGTAGCTGTTTTTTTTTTTCTTTTCTTGTTGTAGCAACATTAGTGTTTATTTTGGAATAGATTTGTTAATTACTATCTGTTGATAAAACTTGACTGGATAGATAGTGGGGAGAAGTGCGACAAAAATACTAAATATATTTTTTCATATGTCTTGTTTATGTAGTCCTACAGAACATCGCTTTGCTGTACTTTTTTTAGCTAATGCATTTCTGTATGCTTTTTAAGTTTAGGATTATTTTTCTTAGATAAAATGTTCTGTTTTTAATATATAATATTTTTATTAAGATTTATAGTATGACCCTGAGATTGTCAGCACTATTTGAAGAGAAAATAAGACGAATTGTTTCAGATTTTAAAAATGGTCAGAAGCAGAATGAAACATTACGCAAAAAACGAAGATATACTAGAAGATTTTTGAATCAATGCTCAGTTCAGACTCCTACCAAAACGCTCAGGTAACTACATGAGTTAAAGATGTGCACAGATTTATCACAGTGTCAAGTATTTGTGTGCCATTATATAGTCTGGGAAGATGACATCAGTTGATTTTTTAGATATTAGATGCCCAGCAAACTTCAGTGAAATGTATTTAGAATTACCTCTTTTGCAGTAGTATAGACATACTTAGGAAAAAAGTGTTCTTCTGTAGTGTGAGATGGGTTGTAAACAACTGAGGGACTCAAGGTAGAATAGGTTTGTGGGTTTTTTGTGTTTTTGTTGGATTTAAATACATCAGCAGTCAGACTTAATTGAAAATGTATTACAGCAATGTCTTATGCACAGAAGAAATTCAGTCCTGCATAAGGTGCTGAGACAATTACTGGCTGACATAATTGCATGTATTCTTCCCAATCTGTCTGTAGGATGAAGTGAGACAAAATGCAAAAAGCTAAACATGGTGGACGGTGGGAACTTAACATGTCCCCTTTTTGGGTGTTCTCCAGCCATTGTGACTGGCTACGGAAGGATAGAATGAGAGTTCTAAGGGGGGGCAGGGCGGGGCTTTGGAAAAGTTTCTTTGCTCTATGTGGCTATATTTGGTCACAGTTCTGAAGAGTAGTGGGTTATTTCTACGTTTCCAGTCCTGAATGTTTTGTGAGAATGCTGGATTACACCATATGCACATCCTTGTGATGGATGCCTTGAGCATTTGGGAATATTCCTAAAGCTTGTAGTTCTTCCCAGTGAAACAGTTTTGTGAATGTAGTAGAGAATCGCACATCAGGATAGACAGGAGCTCTTCTTCAAATCAAAGCTTACATTTTCACCAAGAATTTCACATGACTTGTTTACAGTTCAGTAGTGAATAGTTGAAATGAGTTTTAGGGATATTTAGGGGAGCATTTGACTATTAAGCCATTATGCAGGAAGTGCATACATGTGCATTTAGAAAAATATCTGAAAGCCTGTGACTAAAAGGAAACAAAATAGTAGTTCTAAATGTGTTTAGAAAAAGGAGAGAAAAAAAAAAAAAAGACTTTTGGGTGCTTAGTGGGCTCTGAATGGCCTGTGTATTATGCATGTCTCCTCTGCATTTCCTCTCTGGATAATTTTTCTTCCGTTGTAGTCAAATAGAACATCTGGACTGTGGTGAAAGTTGTTTTTTGAGAGTTGTATCAGTTTTTTACTACAATTTAGACAGTTAAATCATCCCCCAAAGATGCACCTTCCTGGTGTCTTTGGAGCTCAGATTATCACAGAATAATGCCTGTATGAAGAGCACTTTACTGTGAGGCTTATGTGTGCTTGGCAAGATTGCAGCATGCAGAGATCAGCACCTGTTGCTGCAACTTGCTGTTAGCTAGAGGGTGTTTGTGCCACAAGCACATTTCATATGAGCTTTTTTTTTTTCTTTTTTTTTTTTCTTCCCAATCAGAGTAGAGAAAGAAATCATTTTTCTCTTAAAATTTTCTTAGGAGTGCAGACTTTTTTTTTTTAACAGAAAATTTAACAGAAAATTAAAATTGCCCCACACCTTGTTAGGTCGCAAATCTAAATACGCTTTCGTAAATCCAAACTAACCATACGCTATGTGATTTAAGCTTCCAGAAAAGAATGATTGCCAGAATACTTAATTACATATTTTTCACAGTTTTACAACCTATGTTGCTTTTACTCCTTTCTCCTTCCAGTAGAAATTTGAAGCAGAAACCATTAAAATCTCAGGCAAAAATTGAATCCGAGCAGGAAGATTCTTTTACTCTACCTACCTCAAGCAGAGCCGCTTGTGTTACAAGCCATAAAACGACTGCTAGCAATTATGCCCATAGTTCCTCTGGGGAATCTTCTGATTTTGTATGCCTGGCATCCCTCGAAAGGAACGGAAAGGCGAGGTCAGCAACGCTGACAAATTGTTCTGCTTTGTCATCAGGTAAGGAGTGGAATCTGCTTCACCTGCAGATTTTTATCTTGGCCATATCCAATGTTTACTTGGTAATCAGTACAAAGGTGTTTTAATATTTCTGTGCAGTTTGTATTTTGAGCAATACTGAATTTTGAATATTGTGTATGTTGCTGAATTTTAAATTATGTTTGTAATTTATAAGTTCTTGAAGATCTGTGTACTAAATACAGGATTATCTCCTTAATCATACAGAATATCTTAAGGTTAATCAGCTCCTTTATTAACAAAAAGCCTGCTCCAAAGGGGAGATTTATCTTTAGGATAGTCGGAGGCAGAGCTGTCCTGGTTTCATATTGTAGTCTCGCAGATAATAATTTTAGCCACTTTGTGTAGGGCTTCCCTAAAAAGCTGAATTGATTGAGACTAATGCAGAAAAAAAATGATGCTCTTTAGTCTCCTACCAGTTTCAGTAACAGAAGCTCTACATTTCAGAGAGCAGTTTTGGGAAAGCGGCTGTGGTGAGTGGATGCCTCTTACTAGAGAGGGAAATGTGAGCTATTGGATAAACGGTGTTATATAAAATATAGGTCATATACCTGCATATTGTGTTTAAAAGTTAACACCCGAAGTTAGCAAAGGGCAAAATGGAAATTTTTGGAGGCATGGCAGCCTTAGTCTCTGGCCTGTCCCCCACAAAAATACTAGCTTCCTTCAAAGAATAAGGATGCACATCCTGCTAAAAGAGATATAAGAAAACAGCAGTGTTACTTCAGCTGGAAAAAAGTACAGCTCGAAGAACCTACCTAACATAGAAAACGTTAGAAATAAAGTGCTATATTCTGCAAATACAGCTATCAATTTCATGTTTATATAAGGAATCAAAGCATGATAAACTGTGCACTGTAAAATAAATACTAAGTCAATAAATTTTGAGATTTCTTGGATGAGTAAACAGTTAAACTCCAATTAAGAGGTACTATGTGTTTAGATTTCTATTTTTTTTTCCAAACAGAAAGTGAGATAGAAGGTTCTTTGGTTTCTTCATCTTCATCTTCTACCAGTAGCTCAGAAGACAGTAAAGAAAGTGCCGCGACTCTTGTATCACCCCCACTGCAAAATGGGATATCTAGAAGAAAGAATAACAATTTCAGGATAACTAGAAATCGAGCTGCTCAAAGAAAACAGATAGGTAAGATTTGATCACTTTTCCTGTCAACGGCCACTAACACAAGGGAAACGTTGATAAAAGGTAATTGCTGTTTTTTAGTTGTATATGTTAAATGCCAGCTTTTAACTGATGCTAGTTCTCTAGCTCACAAAAGTTCTTTGAACTTTTGAAAATACTGGTATTGGTACTCAGGTTAGGAGACAGAAACGAGTAGTCTGAGTGGGATTATCTTGCCCACTTAAGATTTTAATTAAAGTAAAAATAATTTGTAGAGAAGCTTTACTTTTCACATAGCTAGAATAAATTCAAAATTTATGATGCAGTATAGTATCTCTTTCTGCTAGATGATAAAAACACATAGCTCTTACTAAAGGTGTATTTCATTAGTCATGTATTTGGGTTTAGCTTGTTTGAGATTTGGCTAGAGATAAGAAGAATCTGTTTCTGTATTTAAGATCTTAATTGCTCCTTTACTTTCCAGGAACACTTCCACAGGAGAATGGGAATACAAGAAGAACTGCCAGGAAAAGGTTATATGGAAGTGACTCTGAAAATACTTCAGTGGTGACATCCGAGTCACAGAGTAATAATACTGGTCGACACAGAAAAACTCCCCGCAGAAGCGCTGCTCTGGCTGCCAATAAATTAAAGCTAATGAGTGACGTGGAGGAAGAGGTTTCAAGCTCAGAAAGTATTGGCATTGGCTGCAAGAACAGAAAGTTGCCCCACCGCAATGCCTCGGCTGCAGCCAGGCGGATGCTGCTCGATGGCTCCGAGGATGATGCAGGGCTAAAATCTGAAAGTGAAAAAGAAGAAGAGAAGTTTACCAAGAGGAAAGGTCTTTCTCAGCCAGGTTCATCTACTGCAAGAAGAAAATTCATCAGCGAATCTGAAAATGCAACGTCAGATTCGGAAGCAGATACACAAGTGAAGCAGAAAAACTGGCAAAGCAATGGCCATAAACAGTCACGCGGGAGAGCCCGTTCTGTATCTCCCAGGGCAAAAAGTCCCACAGGAGAATTGTCGGAGGAGGACTCCAAAAGCCATAACTCGGAGGATGGGAGCAGTCAGAAAGCTGCTGACCAGTCAACTTCTGCACATAAGGCTGCAGTGAGCAACTCTGAGGATGAAGCCGATTCTGAATTGGAGAAGTGGAACAGCAGAAAAATGACTAGTCAGCATCTTGTTGCTCCTTTAAAAAAGACAAAAGTCTTGAGCGATTTAGAGGACACTGCAGAATCTGACAGAGAAGACAAAAAGGATAGGAGAGGTTATATTTCAGAGAGCTTGGTGCCATCTAGAATTGCGGAGAGTTCAAAATCTGGAGCTGGTGCCGGCTTAGATTTCTCTTCTGATACAGAATCTGACACAGATTCCAATAACAGTAATTGTAACACTTTAAAGACAAGAAGGAGGCAAAGAAAAGGAAAAACAAAACTCATAAGAAAAGGTAAAATTTTTAAAGCTGTTACGTATACTTGTGATATTGACTAGGTGGAGGAAGCAACACAGGATTAATATAGATAATGCCTGGGAGGATTTGGACTATACCAAGTGTAACAGTATTCCTAAAGGTTCTGAAATCTGAACTAGAAATCAAGGAAGGAGAGCCGTAAGGTGTGGTGGTAAGTGCCTAGAATTCTAGACTGTTTTGTTTAACTGGGAGATTACTGAGCACAACATTGAGAAAGCTAGCCCAGTTCTGTGGTAACAGGATTTAGAATTCACGATGAATGCTGGTCGTTCTAGTCATGCAATTCAGATAACATTCATTTTTCTATTAAAAACCGTCAGTTACGATTGATCTTTTCTTAACTGAATTTGTGCTTGCTTTTCTATATAACAGTTTATTGAAACTGGTGCTACACCCTGTGTAGTAACCATTAAAAGTTAGAGGAAAAATTGAGTTGCACAATAGCAAACAAAACTGGAAAGCCTGATGTGCCCGAGTTGTATGATACACAATTTGCGATAGCAGAAAATCTCCAAAGGAGCAGCCTGTTCCTCGTTCTTCAGCCTGCTCTTTGTTCAGACTTTCAGTGAGGGAGAACCTCTGGATTGTCGTTCTCTTACCTTCAGTTGAAGGGTAGAGTGTTAGTTCAATTTATCTTCTTTGTCAGTCAATGGCTTTGATGCTAACACAGACCAAGACATGGAGCCATTATTTTCAACTGAAGCAAATTCTTTGTGGCGTTTGAAATATGTATTAATGACTTTCACTTCCATGCTGTGCACTGCAACCTGTAATTTGATTTGACTTTACATATCACTGAGTGAAATGCAAGTATTGCTTTTGGGGTGTTTAAAAATGGTCTTTTAAAAATGTTCATTAATCCAATGAAGGGGGCCCATCTAAAGAAAATGTTAAAAGTATGGCAAATAAGGGGCAAGAGTGAGTGTTTCTAAATTCCCAAAAGGCCATGAGTATGCTCTCTAAGAGTTGGTACAGTAATGAATACTTGCCTTGTTTGGGTCTCGTTTCAGAGTAATCTGCAAAGATGAGGCCTCTGTAGTCGCTTAGTTTAAAAGTTAACATCATGTTTCCAATGTATTTGTAACCAGTGGGGTTGAAGATACAGGGCCAAGTTTGAGACCTGCTTTCATGAGAAAGGGAAATATATAATTCCCCTATACAGTGTTCCTTTCAGGCAAACTCTCTGGCATTTATAATGTGCTTGCCTTTTTGTGAGCTGCTTTGCACATTGTTTCACTGAAATATTACTTGACCATTATATTAACTGTAGGTACTCTTGGAAAATATTTATGTAAAATAGATTAAAGCTGAAAATAAATACTTCCTATGTAATCTTTAGTTTAATTTGGGGTATTATTGAAAGTAATCAAATAGCAGGGGCCTTCTATAGCTCATTTTATTCGTCAGCAGACAGATGGTGGGGCAGGTGCACTATTAGCACAGCTTAATTTATTGTGGCTCCTCATATGTGATGCAGGTATTGCCATTTGCTGAAGAAGCTCACAGTTAACAGTAAATAGGAAGCCAAACAAATTAGTACTTCTAAAAGCTTAGCTGGTGCTGGCATATATTTGTGCTTTTATATAAAAAAAAAAAAAAATCCAAGTTTCCACATAAATGGAATAGTTGGTTAACTGGGTATGAGAAGCACTTTGTGGACTGAAAAACAACCTGCAAGTTAGCTGACATGGAGTGAGGGTTGGGTATTGCTACCAGTCTGGCAGCCTGGACTTTCAGGTTTAGCGTTTGGTATTGTGTACTTTCCTTAGGCACGTGCAAATTGGGGTGGTGTTACGTGGCATGGAGGAATGCTTACTAGGGGATTCTGGAGTTGATTTTAATTCTGGTTAAGAAGCCAGAATTAAAAATTAAGATCAGCGTTATGCATAGTTTGTGCAAACTTTGTATGTAAAGCATAGATTTAACATACAGGCAGTGCTGCAGGAAGATGGGATTGGTCTTCAGGGGACTGTCAGACTGCTTTTATCCTTCAGCAATACTGTTTGTCCTCTGAATTAACTGCTGAAACTCTAAAAATAAGCGTAATTAGTGGTGATGGCCAAGCATTTTTCTTTAAGAGCACTTCTAGATATAAGCACCTAAACATCTATCTCAAAGGACTAAAAGCTTGTGGGCATTCTTTCTTTTTGGCTGTTTTTAATGGAGTGAAACTCCAGACTCAACTGACACTGCTGGGAGCGGTTATTTCTTCAGATGGCCAGTCACGACTGTGTCAATGTCAGTGCTCAGTGTTAAGGCTAGGAGGAAAGGAGTAAGGAACCAAAGTGCTGTTTTCAGCTCTGGGTAGTCGTCATTCTCGAGGGGCTTTGGGGGTTTTGGTTCAAGAGTGGTTTGAACAATTTAAGCAAGCTTAGCAGGATAAATTTCTGTCTGTAAGAAAAGGAGACAGAGTCTATCCTCTAAAGCCTTTGTTGCAATTGTATGCTATGTTTCCCTGAACTTTTAGTTAAAAAGGTATTTAGCTGCCTACCTTTCTGTGAAATAACATACAGTAGCTGCTATTATTCCCCCCTCAAGCGCCCCATTTCTGAGTGTAGGTAGAGAATCAGTAAAGCTAATAAGCTTGAGCTGGAACAAAACTTGTTGTTATTACTTATTAAGAAGAGTTAATAGACTAATGCTTTGATTGTATTTTTAGTGGATGCTTTCATGGAGTGAGTGGTTCTCCAAAAAATTAGTAATGATTCCAGAGGAATATACATTATTTAAACTTGGGAAAACTAACTTTACAAATGATGTTTCTGTTAAAATCATGAAACACCATCTCCTTTTTATTTTTAAATCACTTATATACTGATTAATTTATTTCAAGAACTTCTAATTTGAGCAAAATCCATCAGTAATTCTGTGATTTAAAAGGCAAAAGTTGAAATCGCTTGTTTGGTAACATCATTCCTATTATTTACAAACTGAATACTTTAAAACTCAGCATAAGAAACAGTTGCTGGATCAGAAATATGGCATGGAACATCCTCTCTAATGAAGCAATCTTACTGCTTACATCACTAAAGAATTGAAGGGTTTAAATGTTCTCTGTGTATATGAAAAAAAATTTATGATAGTGAAATCCATCCAACGCTTTTGTTTGCATAAGATGTTACCATCTGACTTTTAGAATAAAGCAAGTGTTGTAATTTATTTTGAAAAGACACATTAGGAAGAAAATGATAGCTTTAACAATAGAAGTACTAATAATGTTAAAGCATTTGTTTGTAGAGTTAAGTAAACTGTTATTTGGAAGCAAATAGTAATGGTAAAAGAATGTTATTCTTTCACTCTCCCCTTATCTGGGAGCAGTACAAGAATGCTGAAGAGAAGCGCTGAGAGGCAAAAGTATGCCTTGCACTGATTCTGAACCTTTTTAAATAAAGGCTTAAGGTAAATTGCACATAACGGTTGGAACTGAGAAATCTTTTCATGTATTTTACTAAAGGCAGCTATGTTTGTGCTTAAACTAACTTTTTTCTTTTGCCAGAAATGTAACCTTTCTAACTTTTAAATCTTCGTTTTTATAGACTCACCGTCCGAGGAGGTTGGACCAAGCAGAAAAGTGCTCAGGAGCAGGACATGTATAATTAACTACAAGAAACACATAAAGCTGTCAAATGTGACAGAGAAAAAAAATCCACGCAGATGTGCTACTTTGGCAGCTAATAAGATTAAGATAATGAGTGATACAAAGGAAGAATTATCAAGCTCAGAAAGTGTTTGCATAGGAAAAAAGAACCGAAGGCAGCTTCATGGCAATGGCTCGGCATCATCCCGAAAAAAACTGATCAGCACCTCTGAGATAGATGTTAGTTTAAAGTCTGAAAGTGAGAAAGAGCAGTTTGCTGGCAGGAAAAGACTTTCTTGCTCTAATTCTGCATTTAAGAGAAAGTACATTAGTGAATCTGAAAATGAAAAAACAGATTCTGAGGAAGAGACAAAAGTGACTCAAAAGCAGAGTGATGATGACGAGCAGCCACACAGAGCAGACCATACTGCATCTCTTAATGACATATATGACTTTACAGAAGAGAATTCCAGAAACCACAGCATGGAAAATGGGCGAAATTGGAAAGCTTCTAGTCAGTTAACTTCAGCCCACAACCATTGTATAGCCAGTAACTCTGAAGATGAAGCAAATTCCGCGTTAGCCAAACATGAAACTAAAAATGCCAGAGGGGTATCAAATAAAAAGTCTAGAACTACTTTCAAAAGAGCAAAATTATTGAATGATATAAAAGAAACAGCTGAATCTGAAGCAGTGGGAGGAAAAGATGAGAGAAGCTCAGTATCAGAGAATGTAGAAACATGTGGGGCTGCAGGAAGTTCAAAAGCCGGTTTCAGCTGTTCTTTTGATTCAGACTCTGGCACTGATAACAATAACTCTAGTGATGCCACAGAAACAAAGAAGAGGAAAAGAAAAGCAGAAGTTCTTAGGAAAGAAATCTCAAACTCCAGTTTGTCTTCCAAAAGACCCCAACGAAGGAAACGTTGTAAACTTAATCAAGAAAATGACTCTGAAGATCTGGATTACACCAAGTACAGAAGAGCTAATCGGCGTTCTAAGATAAGAACTCGGAATGGGGGCAGACGGACTGTGAGATATGACGATTGCGACGACGACGATGATGACAGAGGTTTAGGTGATATAAATTGTGAAACGTAACCTTAAAAAGAAAAGCCAGCACACTTTTTTTTTTATGGTAATAGCACTAGAACTCATGATGGATGCTGGCTCTTCTTTGTCCTACATTTCAGGGAATATATTTATATTTTTCTATGAAAAAGTTATGAATGTGATTAGATCATGACTTTCTCCTTTTCATATTTTGACTTGCACTTGCCTGCCCATGTAGCAGCATTTAGCACAGATGCCAAAATGTGCCTCATTATAGGGGCAATTTTTTGTCTTTACTGGTATTTTATTACATATAACAAGAGTTAAAAATGTTAAAACACTGCACAACAGGTTAATAGCAGTATGTTGAGTATTATTGTTATGGGTGCTGCAATGGAATACTACCTAGGTCAAACAACATTAACACATTCAAGAACAGATTTCAAACATCTCTAATGCTGTATGAAATTGTATACAATAGCAACAGGCTTATAAATAATACTGTACACTATAAAAATCTGGTAGATGCTACTATTGCATCAGAGGAGTAATGAATGGTCACGAGGTTAATAACATTACAGCTTCTATTAGTACAGATATTAAATGTTCTGTACTTCCATTATTGAAAACATACAACTAGAACCAGTTACCAGTGAAAAATATATTTGCCAGTTAAAAAAGCATTATGGTGCTGGTAAAGAGAGGGTTTATGCTGACAGGTAGTACTATCATCATTAATGTGACTTCTATACTGTAAATTTAATAATATGAAATGCAGGGGAACTCTTGGGCCTGAGGGTTTTTGTGTGTTTTCTTTATAAAATAGAAAAACAAACAAAACACTTGTTCTGTTTTTTTTAATGCGTGAAATGGTTGAGGTTCAGAATCCTTACATTCCAGACCTTTCTGCTGTTTCTTCATTGTTCTTCCATATTTAAATTTAAGTGTTTTAATATTAAGACTGCTGCGTTGATTAAATCTTATCTGTTTCTGATTATTGTAGTACCTCATCTGCCAATTTTTGGAATGCTAAAGACTGCTGTTGCTGACAAAAATTATTGCATAGAAGAAAAAGTAATTCTCCTGCTAAAATGTATAAATTCTCGAGTGGCCATGTATCAGATAAGAGGTTTTAACCTAATTTGATTCTCAACTTTTCCTTAGACATGCTTTTCAGTAGAGAACAGGTCAAGGAGCAGCTTTTCACTTCCCCTTGGCAAGTAGAAAACTTGCTGCAGTAGCTGTAGCTGCTTTACTGGCTTGATGACCTGTACTTGGCGGAGCTGTGCTGGCTGGAGCTGTAAGGTTACTGCCTTGCACCCAATTCCTGCGCCTTTCCCACTCTCCACTGTGGTTTTCCTGCCTCTGCTTTGCTGTGTCAGTTTCTCCCATGGTTGTGATTCCTATCTGCATTCAATAGGCAGGAGAGGTGCTTGTATAATTCTCCTAACCCAGTTCATTTTAACTGAAATAGCAAGTTTTTGAGTTAGTTTTAACATTTGGATGGGAAAAGTTTTGAAAAACTGGAAGCAGTACAGCTGCACAACGAAGCTCTCGTGGTATCAGCACAGTTTACGGGCATAGAAGTGAAGTAACAGAAAATGGAGTCCCAACCACTGCCTGCCAGCAGTTTGTGAAAGCCACTTCTCCAACAGGTTTGCTGACATAGTGTACCAAAATGTGCATCAGCCATCACAACATTTTGGTATCCTGAATGCTATCTCAGTATACTCACTCCCTTAGTTAGGGCTTCTGGGTGAAGTCCAGTAAACCTAGTTTATACCATTCCTGCCCCAGGAGCGCCTTTGTTTTTCACTAGAGCTTAGTCTTTAATATAGTGGTAGAATTTTATAAATTTGAAGTATATGTTTGTCTGAATTCTTTAGGCTGGTTTCTAAAATGTGAAAACAGTTGTGTTTAGCAATGAAAGTTTGCTCTTTGGAATGGCTTTTTGCACCCTGCCTTTTAGGAGCATCTTTGTTAAAAGAGAATAATAAGCAAACTAGTATTTTTATATTATCCGTAAGTGGAATGCATTGTTTCGCAGCTGCTTATGATCAGTCGGACATGAAGTATAATGTCCAATGGAGATGTAAAAGTAATTACTAGCTTGTGAGCTTCAGAATATTTATTAATGGGAAATTTAAATGGCTAAAATTGGGCTGGCAGGTTTTTGCTTCCAACTCAGGATTAGATTTAAAACATAATTTTCTTTGTCTTCCTTTTTCAGGTGCTGTGTTTTCTGTTACATGTTCATGATGCTCCTAGAAAGTTTGGTGTAGGTTGGCCACCATATTTGCATATCTGAGAGGGAATTACTGGCTTATGGACCATAATGCTGCACTTTTTCTTTACAGCTAAGCAAATGCTATTTCAAATGCTATTTTGTATTTTATTTTATTCATATGGACAGGCTCCTGAGAGCTGGCAGATGAATACTTGAAAAGTAAATATTTTTTTTCTCTTAACTTTCCAACCCTGAAAGAGTATGTCTTTTCTTCTAAAGAAGTGCACTTACTGTCATCACAGCTTGGCCTTTTTAGGTCTTGCAGAAAGCAATTCTTTGAGCTTGTTAGTAGTTTTAATCATTCAGCACTCTGTTAGCCATAGCTGTACTCGGAGGGAAGCAAAGTGATGTAGTAAGCACTTAAAAAAAAAATTAAAGTTGATATAATGAGTTGTTTTTGAAGCATGAATCTGGGGTAAAGAATAGGCTCACACGTAGCATGAACAGAGGAGAACGCTGGATGTGTAGACCAAAAGCATAGATTGAACTCCTGAGCAGTCTAGAGACCTCCATGGCGCTGTATGCGTAGGAGCAAAGTAACGCTCGAGGGACAGCCATAACCTCCCTGTACTCGTGTTTGCAAGTGCCTGGTGCGTTTGTTCTTGCTCTGCTGGCTCCCCAGGCACGCGCGGTGCCGCCTCAGCGGTTCCGTGAGTGGGACGGCGCTAACGGCTCCCAACGGCTCCCTAACGGCTGCCCAAGGCCCCGGCGCGGCGGCCCCCCGCTGCGTGGTGCGCAGGGCCAGAGCGGCCGCGGGGCGGGGCGGAGCTTC